TTCTGTCACCATAAGCACAGGGTCTACCTACCTTTCCCTCCAGCTGTGGGAACACCTTCATAACAGCCAGCAAAGAGGCTTTAACAAAGGAGGTCTTGAGGGCCTCATAGTCGCTGCTTCGCTTTCCCTTTGGCTCATCCCGCCACTCCTCAAACCACTCATAGGAGGTGGGCACCAGCACGATCACCGTGGACCGGTCTGGGGGTGCAGAGCTGGAGTTACTGCTGCTCGGCCCCGCCCCGCCCCACCTCTCTCCCCCAGGACCGTCAGCCTCACCTGGGAATCGGTCCTCCCAAGTAGAGTCCTTGGCTGACGGGGAAGCAATGAAGAGAAGGGGTATATGTGCTGCAGCCTTTTCTCTGGGCATGGACAGGTAGTGCTCCATCCTGGGAGTGAGAGGAATGTGGCGGCCCAGCCCGAGGGCCTTGGCCCTCAGCCACCAGCACCACACCAAGGACAGGTCATCCCCTACCCCCCACCCCCAGGGATGAAGCTGAGGCACAGCCTAGGTGTGAAAAAGCCCTCCCAGGAGTCAATGAGTGCCCACTTCTTCCCAGTCCATAGCCTGCTGCTGACTCCCCAGTGTCTGGGGAGGAAGCAGGGGCCCGTGGGCCGTGGGCCCATTCTGACACCCTCCCCACCACATGCACACACGCCTTACGCCTTGTCCATGTCTGTGTCAAAATAGACATAGTAGTTGGTGGACTGCAGCCCCAAGTCCTTCTTGGTGCCTCTCAGGCAGATGAAGACAGATAGCATGCCCAGGCTGGGCCGCACCATCCCCAGCTGTTTCTTCACACCTGCCAAAAGAGAGCGGGTGAGGGCACGCGCACTGCGGCCAGCGATGGCCACTCCCAGCCCCAGGAGAGCTGCTGAGCCCTGCTCAATGTCGGCAGCCTATCAGCTGCCAGCCTAGTGCTCAGGCCATTTTTATGTTGTTTCAACACTGACTTGGCAGGGTGCTCTCCTGTCTCCTGCCTGTGCAGGACACAACGCCAGACTACTGTCCTTCTACTCCCACCCATTTCTGCTCCAAGCACCTTTAGGAGCAGATAGCACCCAGGCTCCGCAAGCTGGTTCACAGCACCTGCGGGACAGCAGGCAGACTGCCTCCAATCTTCCCCTAGTCTTTAAATTAGGAGTGGATGACTGCGCTCCACACTGGAAAGACCACAGATGTGCGACAGTCAGTGTACAAGGCCTCAAAATGGTAAGCAATGCGGATGAACAAACGCAAACGACTTTCCTGGCTCTTGGCGTTTCCGGATTCAGCTGGGGAGGAGGGCAGAAGAGCACTATGGAGAAGGGCAACAGCCATCTGATGCCCCCGCCCCGGACCTAAGCAGCTGGCTTTCCTCACCTCTCAACAAATCACTCCAGACCCGTTTGGAGTGCTCCCATAAATGCTTATCCTTTATTACCATTCCCAGGACCATCTCCAGCACCTGTTGGAGGGATAACACTGGCTGCTCTGCTTAGTTCATTTAACAACTGTTTGTTGAGGACCTGAAATGTGCTGAATCCTCTGGTAGGGCCTGGGGATGCTGCAAGGAATCAGATATGCTGCCTGTCTACTGGAAAAGAGACTTTCCTGACAGAGGCTGCAAAGAACTGAGTGCTATCTATGGGTAGCATGACCATAAAATCGATCACCCAAAACAGGCCACTTTCGAGAGCAAGAGGGGGTGTTAGAACAATCACAGTAGGACAACAAGTGATTTACAGACACCCAGACATGGGACCACACTGAGGAGGGAAGGGGAATGGAGGTTTCCACGGCCTCACGGAGGAGCAGTGGACTGCCCTGGAGCTGCAGGAGTACCTTATCACCTGGGTCCCGGCATCCTGGAGTCATCTCACTGCGGGCACTCCCTCNTTGTCTATCGCTTCTTGTTAATGTTGCCACGGTCATATTAAATGACCTTGGCACGCCGAGGACGGTGCCTACGCCCACGGGTCCACTAGTCTCCAGTCTTCCCAAGCGAAGGCTCTCGTCGGTGGTGGACAATAAAGCGGGACGTCTCCACGAGGAAGCAAGCCCTCCCAGCACTTTACATAAGGGGAAACTGAGGCCCTGCCAAAAATTTTTGGCTCGCCCTGCCGAAAAGGGAACGCAAACACACGAGGATGCCGAGGAGCAGCCTCGGACCCCAGGGTCCCTCCCGCTGACCTTGTTTGAGAACCGTCTTCCGGACCTCTTTGTCGGTCACCAGGGGCGCGGGTGGCCGTTTGACGTCCTCGGAGAAGGGGTTCGGGGAGCTGCTTGCGAACAGCTCCCGGTAGACTTTGTGGAGGACCGCCAGCAGCACCGCCAGCAACACCAGCGAGAGCCACATTGCGCCGGGTCTGAGGACCGAGGTTCACGCCGACGGCGCCAAGCCTTGTGGCCGTGGATCCGCCCAGTTTATTTGTACCGCCCAGTCAGGAGGCAGAGGCAGCTTTGCCCATTGATCAGCCCTGGTCTTTTTGGCCAGAAGCCCAGACTCCATCGCAGATTCACCCTCCAGGCTCTCCGTAGCTGCTTGGCATCGGGCGAAGACTCCCCTGCCCGCTGGGAGGTGCGCTCTTCCGCTGGAGCGGCTGCGCGGGAGGGCTGTGCGCGTGCGCGGGGAGGCCTGGCGCGGCTGGGAGAACGCCGTGGGAACTTTGGGGAAGTGTCCGGCCAGCCCCGGGTTGCTGAGGAGGGAGAATGTGGGGGCTAAACGATGGCCCTGGGGCGAGGCAAGGCTGAGAGTGGCAGGACTGAGAGAAAACCCCGACCCGGAGACCTGGGTTTCGGGCCGCGCTCGGCCGTGGACTCTCTGAACGACTCTGAGGCAAGTTGCTTTGCTTAAGTTTCCCCACCAAGTAGCGAGAACGTTTCCGTCCGGAACCCCCACCCATCCCTGGCTGGCTGGCTGGCTGGCTCTCTTGTTGGATGGAGAGCTCTTGAGATCTGCGCATCGCAGCCGGCGAACGTCCGGCCCCCCAACACTGGCCGATCATTTTGGGCGCGGCGTCCCCTCTGGGATGGCGTTGCCTGCTGGCGCTCCCAGGCCTCTGGCTGGGTCCCCATGGCACCTCCCTCCGTGGAGGCCATGAAGGGGACGGGGAGCCGCGCAGCGACAAACCTGATGAAAAGATCAGAGAAGAGCTGTCATACCTATGTGCGCGTTTGTATTTAAGGTATGGACTTGGTTTCTAAATTGAATACCCATTCAGAGAGTTTACGCTCCAGCAAGCAATTAGAAAATCATACCCCGTAATGAAACTCTTTGCCTAAAGTAGGTGCACCATAAATCATTGATTTGATAAAGGATCATCTTTATAGGAAGGCCATTTCTTCAGGTCCAGCTCTAAAGGCTTTGAGTCTTTGCTCTTTTGACAGAATGCACTTTTCTTTCTCTGATACAGATAGTAACTGTCCCCTTTGAAGCCCCCAGCAGTGCTCCAGCCAGAACGGGGGCGCTGGCAGGTGTGTGAAGCTGCTCATGCTTCTACGCTGCTTGATTCACTTCATGCACAGTAACAGAAGAGCCTTCCTGAGATTACTGTTACCATACCTGCCTGTCACCTTCTCAAGGTCGGCCGATGTGTAAGTCTTTGTCATATGCTGTCGTGGAGGTCAAGGAGGAGGGAAAAAAAGGGAGGCAAATGCTGAGGCCCCAGAGGACGCAGAGAGCTAGTTCCTGAGGTGCCATGACTAAGGGGCACTGCCCTCCCTTCCCAATCACAGTGAGCCAGATGCCCAGCCCAAGAGCCAGGAGGTATTCCTGCTCTTGGTTTTAGGAATCAATGTGTCCTACCCCCGACAAAGATTACAGTTTGTTACTGGCAGCCAGTTCTTAGGGAATCCAGGTCATATTCCCACTGTGGAGGGCTGACCTAATAGAGATGCCACCTTCCTTCCTTAGCCACCCGAGTCTATGAAGTATGACTGTCAGTTGTGTGTGGACCATCTGCCCATTATGATCTGGATTTTTGTTGTAATGTATCCATGATGTCCATTTCCCCGTGATGAAGCATGAGCCTGTCCAGCCCTCTTCCTAAGGTGGACTCGTGGAATGAAAGACTGAGTTAGCCAAACTGGCTAAGCAGCTGCAACATGCACAATATTGGTGACAACTAGCTAGGCATTGTGTTGCATTTTGAGTTTCTACCATCACAAGAACCATCACAGATACAGTATTACAAGCCCCCAGACCCAACCAGTGTCTGACACCTAAGCAAGGCCTGAGCCTTCTGCTAAGACCACCCACAAAGGTGCCACCCATTAGCCTCACCTTTTTGATAAGCTGCCCCATATCCCATTAACTTCATTGTCAGAAACAGACCCCAGCACTTCGAGTGGTGCTGCTGCCTTCTGGATACTGAGACTCCAGCCCTCAGACTCTTGCAGGGTCCCCTTCTTTCCATCCAGTGGCATGGGTACTAAGAGGTAGGCATTTGGCTAAAGCAGCTTATTTATTCAGAATAAATTTACAGCTGCTTAAAAAATTTTAAAGTCAGTTTTTCTCAACAGGCATAACTGAATGATGAAACCAGTTTCTTTTACTCTTTTTTTACAGGGCCGAGGCTTCGGAGACCTCAGAGACTTGTTTCAATACTCACAGAAACCTCCTACACCCTGGTGATGGCACATAGGGACTGTTTTCTTGCTCTAAGTTTGAATAACTGCCAAGAAGGAAGGCAAAGGTAGAACAGTTGGATCTCTGGCTCTCCCCATAGCTTCTAATCTCAGACTTTATGAAACTCCTTTCTGAGCCCAAGGACAAAGCTCACTTGAACAAATGGTTTTGAGTCATGAATGAAAAATCTTGCTCTTTCCATAATGAGAAAGAATTAAGGGATGGACAGGTAAGCAAGCATTTCTATTTGGGGAAAAAAAGGTGTTGGTTTGGGATATATTGTTAATAGGAATAAGACAGCATATATCAAGAGAACGTGAAGCTTTATGTTTAGGAAAAACCCTCATTATAGTTCTCTTTGTTGATTTAGAAACTTCTATTCACCTCTGGGTCAATTGCCGTTCCTGAGAGCTTATTTTCTAAGTGGGTTATGGGATTTGGATTTGGATTTGCTTGGGTAGGAGGAGAATTTCAGTGAGGAATTCTCCCAGAAATTTGTATTTCATCAATTTGGATTGTGTACCTCCTACTTTGGCCCGATTATCCTCAGGGCTCTTGGTTCAGTGTGATCTGTCTTTGTGCAAGCCTGGCAGCTAACCTCTTAAATGAAGCCCGTGGGGTTCAGTGGCTGGAACTGGGACCAAGCCTTTGCTTTGGGAGTCTAGGAAGGTTTTCTTCTCTGTAATAAGACAGGTGAACTGTTTTTCCAGAGGGAACTCTTTGGACACTGGAGGGGACTGAACTGGAGAGGGCAAAGGAAGGATGAAATGAATCCTGAGTACACAGACCCCTGCAGGAAGTTCTTCAGCACGATGAGCCACCACATATTTTTGAGAACATACTTTGTGCCTAGTACTATGTGAATGAGTGTGGGAAATATAAAAGAAGCATTAGAGAAGGTCCTTACGCTCAAAGCAGCAGAGTCTGATTGGGGAAATAGGCCCTTGCAGAGGAACTTGTGCTTCACATGGAAGGGCTACAGGACTTAGAGAAGCGAGAGACCATTGTAGCCCCCAGTGTGGTAAGGTGGGCCACCTTGAGGAGATGGAACTGATCTTGAAGGAGACAGGACATAGAGAAGTTGGAGGTAGGTATGTATTCTGGAGGAAAACCACTTGACCCAAAGGATGGACATGAGAGGAACTACAGCAAGTGTGTTCATTAGACTGAACTGGAAAATACTAGTGTTTCGGCATCATGAAGCCAATTATGGAGGCGTTGGCTCGGGTGTGGTATGTTCAGGCATCCGTTCTTGTGTCCCAGGCATAAGAAAAGCTGAGTTTAAGGAATGGCAGTTGGCAAAAATATGTAGGGGGGGATTAGAATAATGGGATAATCTAGGATTCCAGGGCCTTGACATAAGCGATGATTCCTTTATTATTTTCCTTTGATTATTTATTTTACAGAAAATAATACATTCACATGGTTCAAATCCAAAAAGTACAGAGGATGTACATATAGTGAAAAAACTGCCTTCTACCCTTGTCCCCTAGCCACTCAGTTTTTCTGCTGGAGGTGGATTGACTACTTCCTTGGGTATAATTCTAGAAATAGTCTCTGCAGAGACAAGTAAATATGTTGATGTATTTCTCAAAATGCAAATCGTACAATAGTGTATATACTCTGCCCTTTGCTTTTTTACTTACTATATCAAAAAGAGTGTTTTATATTGTCCAGAAAGTACTTTCTTATTTTTTATGGCTATATAGCATCTCTTCAAGTGGATATACTTCCATTTGTTTAATTAGTTCATTACTGAACATTTAGGGTTTTTCTACCCTTTTGCTGCTACAAACAGTGTTACTGTTAATGACACTATAAACATGTTATTTTGTACATGGTTGAGTATATCTGTTAGATGGATCCTAGAATGCAACTACAGGCCCAAAATAAATGTACAAAGCATGTAATTTTGTCAGGTATTGTCAAGCTGTAGAGGAGGTAACAATTTACTCTTCAGTTTTATAACACTTGATACTGCAGCCAACAGTGTGTTACTAAAAGACTATTTGGTCTTTTATAATATGCTAAGTGAAAAGTATTATCTTAGAGTAGTTTTATTTGACATTTCTCCTGTCATGAATAAGGTTAAGTGTAAACTGTCCATATCTATGCCAGTTTTTCTACTGGATTGGGTTTTTTTCCCTTACTGATATGGAGGACTTTTTTTTTTTTAAAACATATTAGAAAATTAGACCTGTTTCCAAAAAGTTGGTAAGATGGGGTTTTTTTTGTTTTGTTTTTTTGTTTTTTTAGCTGAGCCATCCTGCCACCTGTTGGCAGCTCAGTGGCAGCTCAGCTCAGGCTGGGAATCGAACTGGCAACTGTGTTGCTCAGAGCTCGCACTCTTGAGTGAGCTCCTAACCAACTGAGCCACTTGGTCAGTCTCACCAGGTGTTTTTTTGTTTGTTTGTTTGTTTGTTTGTTTAAGTTTTAATAGGGGGAAAGGTTTGGCAGAGCCCTGAGACCTGTAACAGAGCCAAGAAATCTGTATAAGATTTTTGAGATAACATTAATTAAGCTTTTTCCAGTTTTTCTGAAAACCAGATTAAACAGAAATGTTCCCTTATACAATAGTATTCATTGTAGTTGACTTCTCAGGAATTCATCTATTTCGTGTGTGTGGTACTGGGAAAAGGTGTGACATTTGAACTGTCGTCTTTGGGGTGTGACACATGCCCGGGAGATTGACTCTGGCTTCTCTTGCAGGTTGAAAGTGTGTCTGCTGGGTCCTCTCCACCATGTGACAAGGACAACAGTGCTCTCCTGGCTTTCAGAGGTATTCCTGTACGTATCGCCCACACCTTAGTACATCCCACCGATACAAGCTTTTGTTGCATGTTACTATGTGGTGGCAGAAACCTGTGACATAGGATGGCGTAGACCCTGCCCTCCAGGAGCTCACCCTCAGGGGAAGGCGTGGGACACAAACAAGCAAAACAACCTCTATCTAATAAGATAATTGCTTTAGTGAAGCAGAATATGAAGTGCAGTGGGAATTCCAAAGGCACACCACAGCCTTAGTTGAGTTGTGTGAATTTTTATTTGTTTACTATTCAAGGAGGGCATATATTGGTCCCCACATCTCCCAACTTCTACATCATAGTTGGAGTTTTCCAGGTGCCTGTCTTTAAGATTGATGTTAATCAACCTATCTCGGGAGACTAGATCCTTCTGACCTCCAGTTTCAAGGACATTCAACACAGTGGGTGGGACGTGTTTGTGGGGGAGGGGGATCTGGGGGGCTGTGGATTCTACCCCCACACTAAGGATCACTGCCCCTGCAGATCTCAGCGCTGAAGAACTGCAGCGTCCTCCGGGCCCTGACAGCGGAAGCCAATGGATGGGTGCCAGGTGGTAAGGTCCCCTTTAGCGCCCTTGGAGCCGGGGTGGGGCTCAGGTCAGAGCTCCCCATGGATCTCCTTTTTATCGTTTGAATTTTTCTCACTACTTGTCCTACAGAATTTTATAGATTTATTATTTGTCTAGGAAAGTTAGACTCAACACTGGAAGGAGTCACAAGACCTGAGTTCTAATCTAGCCCTGCCAGCCCTGATAGTAGCCTACTGTGTGCTTTTAGGCAAATCATATAATCTCTGTATCTGTGGTGGAAACATTAAAAACTCCTTTATTTTCAAAAAAATATTATGATAATGAAATGATAGTGTATGTGGAAAGGCTTTGAAAAAGCATCCTATTTTATCTGCTTTACATGGTTCTTTCCTGTACTATATTTAAAGCTCATCCCACTTGCTAACTTATTACACAGAAAGCCACACTCACCAATTCAGAAGCACCAGTTCTGGGGTCAAATATCTTTGGCTTAAACCCTGGTTCTCACACACCAGCTACATTAGTTTGAGCAAATTACTTTGCTGCTTTTTTTTTTTTTTAAGATTTTATTAGGGATCTGGGGAAGGGAAAAGCCAAGTTGTTGTCCTTCAGTCTTAGTGTGGAGGGCACAGCTAGCTCAGCTCCAAGTCCAGCCGCTATCTCAAGTCCACTCGCAGCCGCTCAGCTCAAGGTGCTGCGTTCAATCTTAGCTGTGGGTGGGCGCAGCCCACCATCCCATGCGGAAGTTGAACCAGCAACCCTGCTGCCAGCAGCACGTGCTCTCAAACAGGTGGCAGCTCAGTGGCAGCTCAGCTCAGGCACAGCTCAGGCACAGCTCACTGGCCCATGCAGGAATCGAACCAGCGACCCTGTTGCTAAGAGCTCACACTCCCAAACAACTGAGCCACTCAGCTGGGCCCAAGTTACTTTTCTTATCTATAGAGTAGGGATTGTATCAGAACCTATAGGATGGGAATTATGTAAGGATTAAATGAGATCATGTAAAATGCTTAGCACACAATGTAAATCACTGTGGGATCTCATTGGTATGTATTATTATCTTTAAATTCTGCAAACTGAAAATGTAATCTCCAAAAATATGGGGCGTATTAAAAATATTCTAAGGCAGAAAAATTCTTTGAAGTTTGATGAAGTTTCTTTTAGTAGTATTTTGTTTTCACGCTGTGGTGAAAAAACCTAACATTTATTAGAGATTTTGCCTTAAATGCCAAAATATTTTATCTTTCAGTACAGTTGGCATTATGTGCCAGATATATATAT